AAAAAAAAACATGTTGGATACACATACTTTGTACTAGGTTAAGTTACTCTTACTTCTGAGGAAAATGAAATCATGTAAGTTCCAGTATTCTCTCTGTTTTCTCTCTGCCTCTGTCTCTTTCTCTGTACATTTTCTCCTTTTCATGACTTATCCCAGCGTATCTCTTTTTCCTGTAAGTGACTTCTCTAGGTAAATATGATGGGAAATATAATTGAGTTTGTAACACTGATCTTAACAGGAAAAGTAATTTTTTTTAAGTGACTTGCCCAAAGTTACATAGCTAGTGAGTGTTATGTGTATGAGGTCAAATTTGAACTCAGGTCCTCCTGACTCCAGCACAGGTGCTCTATCCACTGCACCACTTAGCTGCCCCTGAAAATGTTTTAATAGAGATAATTCTTTCTTAAGGGGATAGTAGTTTGCACATTTGTGTATGCTAATATCTCTTCCTACCAACAAATCAATATATGAATCCCTCATCTAATGTGGCACTTATATGTCATAATAGTCCACAGGTTATGAGAGAATCAGGTATTCACTTACGGAGTTTGGTGGGTTTGTGTTTGGTATTGAGAGAATTATCACCACAAATTCAGTGAGAGTCCCTAGCCAGATCCAGTAATTCCAAAGCCAATAAGCTTCCAGCAGTTGTGCCACCACTACCCAAACTCTCATTCAAAACATACTTTTCCTTGGCTCTGTTTTCCTTATTGGTCTTTCTATCTTTGTCTATAGGGTAAGAAGAATTCATATAATCTCTCCAGGAGATTATATGAGAGGCGGAGCCTCTCCCAGCTCCGCCCCCAACTTCTTCTGAAGGGGAAAAAATCTTTCTTTTCACTTTAACTCCAAGGTAAATGGCATCTTTCTTCCTTGCTCTCAAACATGTCCTGACTATACCATTTACCACATCATTCAGGGTTGGTGACAATCCGCTTTCAAAAATATCAATGGGAAAATTTTTATAAATAAAATTTTAAAAAGAAATCATTAGAGAACAGATTTCTTGGATTAAAGGCTACCTGATTATTGAAATGAATGAAAAACCTGAGAAACAAAGTTTCTGGGTAATTAATAATTTATTAATTAGGCTAGCAAATAATAAATTGAGGTCTGTGGTTTCCTCTCCTAATCTAAGACCCCACATGAATGTTTAAATACCTTTGGAAAAGGGGATGTCCCTAGGGGTGAAAATAAACTCTAATTGATTAACAATTAATGGGAAGGTGGACATATAACTGAGGAGGTGGGCAAAAAGTCCTCTGCTGCTTGTGCTGAGGAAGTGGCTTAATGGGACTTGGCTGCCTCAAGCTATCTTGACAAAGGGATCCATCTCCACATCTCCACCCAGACCACTTAAATTGTTGAACAATGGGCCATAATTCAGATTCGTTTTACTCTTTTTTCTTTCTTTTTCTTTTTTTTTTTTTGGCAATTGGGGTTAAGTGACTTGCCCAGGGTCACACAGCTAGTGCTAGTCAAGTGTTTGGTCTGAAGTCTGGTCCTCCTGACTTCAGGGCCGGCGCTGTATTCACTGCGCCACCTAGCTGCCCCCTCTTTTTACTCTTTAATCAGAAATATGCTCTCCCAGTTGGGTGGGATCCCGCCCAAGATTGAGGAGAATGTCTCATTGTCAGCCCTGTCCTTTACAAGAGGACTGGGCCTCGAATGGGGAAGTAAAAAGAGAAAACAACAACAACAACAACAACAAAAACACCTACTAATAATTAACCTACTAATAATTGGTTATTAATAATCAAAAAGAGGATATTTGGGTTCCATATATAAAATTTGTCACTAATAACAAAATAGTCATTCTTCCCAGTATGCAAATGATAGGACACAGTATAGGCTTTTATCTTTTTCATTCTTTTGCCACGGAGGGAGGGGAACTAAGAAATAAATGTTTGGGTAGGTAATAAAGAGCCTTTTGCTCAATTTGTAGATGAAAGGAAATTGTTAGGATCCCAGTATGGTAACTCAACCATATGCTACATAATCCTCTGCTTCCACTCATTCCTGATTTCATGTGGTCTGTATTGCTGTAGCTCCCCTCCCCAACATGCTTTTGGTTCCATAACCTCCTCTTAGCAGGCCAAGTAGGATACAGATTATGCTAAAGCTTTCTTTAGAAGGTCTATAGTGCATTTTCTTTTCTCTCTGTGTGACTTTTCTCATTATGGAATCCACCTAAATTTAAGGTCATGGATATTGGTGAACTCAATAAAATTGTCTGCTGAAGAACACCTTGTTTTAATGTCATTTGCTAAAATACAAATTCACTACACTGCTTTTTTAAGGATCTAAACTTGGCAGACTCCAGGATCCTATGTGAAAGAAGTTTGTGGCCACAAAATAAGGCTTTGTGATGTGATAGTTTTTGTTGTTTGAATCTCTCACTGTTTTTTATAGAAATCAAACTCATCTCATGAAACAAGAAAAGCTCTATCACAGTGCAAAACCTCTTAGAGATATGAAAATCTCTCATATAGGATCCAAGACTGATAAACTTTGCATTTTGTGATAGCTGTGACAGATATATCCTGGCACATTCTAACTTTTTTTAAAGAGAGAGGTGTACTCATCAAATACAGAAAAGGAAAACTGATATTGATTTTTCAATGTGAATATATTTTAATGCAGTAGAAATATATAAACTGTTGTACACCAAAGTTGTGGATTACCTCAGTCATATAACTGCTTCTCATTAGGATATCAATTCGAATAACTTTTCTTTAAAACTCAGGCAACAGATACAAGTAAAAGTACTCTAGAAGAGGGAAGACACACTAAGTTAAGCATCATGAAGAAGAGAGACAGAAAAATTCAGAGACAGAGACAAGAGGGAGAGAGATACAGTGACAAAGAAAGACAGAGACAGAGAGAATGAGAGAAAGAGACAGGAAAACAGAGACAGGGATAAGCTAATTGATAATTAGAATATGAAACCATGAAGGAAAGTAGCTCTAAGAAATCTGAAAATAAACATAAATCCCTAGAGGAAGAGAAGGAAGTATATCCTTTAAGGAAATCAAAATCCTTCCCCTAGGTAGTTTGCCCAGGGTCTTTAATTGTTAACGATAAAATGTATAGACACCATTTTTACCCCAGGTTTCCATAGTTGTCTAATGTAACCCGTGGGTCCTCAGCTCCTTGCTGACAGAAAAAGCATTGGTATACCTTAAGGGTTCTTTCAGTTATTGACTCTACACAGATAAACCAGGAATTGAAATAGGGTATACACCAATGGCCAAGACATTTTAGCCATGAGATCCCTAAATAGCAAAAGAGTAAGATGCAACCAAGGTGACCTAGGCAGCAAATCTGAATCTAACCATTAATGTAAGTAATTTAAATTAAGTCCATGTAAGGGAGTGCGTGTGCGTGTGTGCATGTGGGTGTGTGTGTGCGCGTGCGCATGTGTGTGTGTGTAGGGAGGATTTACTTCCCCAGTACCTCTGCATACCAGGAAGGAAAAAAAAAATTGTAGGCCTTGTATTAATTGTTCTTCATATATATTTTTTCTGCTCCTGCCCAGTCATTTGCCCTTGCAAGCATTCCCATATCTCTGTCAATTATAAAACTCCTTATTCACAATTCTCTTTCAATTGGCTGTATGATAAATTACAAGCTCTCTACTTAATTTCTTTTCGTACCTCTATAGGGACAAGTTATCAACTTTTCAAGGACTAAACTATAATATGGAGAGGTAGAAGGACATTTGCAGCATGGTTTGCCAAAATCTGGTCTTTTACAACTTTGCTGGGCCTGATATCCTTTTACTGACCCTGAGCACAGTTTTGCCTTAGCATTGCCAATTCATGCAGTTTGTCTTATCACACAGCTCTAACCCTTTATTTTTTTGTTCATGGTACTAACCGAATAATAGTTAGGACAGTGACTATCTATGGGTTGTACAAATGGAGGTGGAGATTGGGTAGAGAAATGGTTCCTGTAGAAGCGAAATGAAGTTTGAGAATTACTCTAACAGACATCACAAGCCTGTTTTCCCCAAAACCTTTTCACCATTTCTATGAATGAACCAGCAGGAATCATTAAGTTATCTATATATCTTTTGTCAGTATGTTCCAACAAAAGGTAACATTTGAAACATTAAAAAAAAATATTATCCAGTTGGATAGGTCAAATTAATTTAATTCAAATCAATAAACATTTGTCAAGTTTAACTTACACGTAAGGCACTGTTCTAAATGCTATGCGTGTAAAAAAAAGAATAGTGTCAGACTTCAAGAAGTTTACATTTTAGTGGGGGTATGAAGGTGCAGGGGGAGATATAGCATGGACACAGATAAATAAATACAAGATTATTTGAGGGAGGGGAGAAGTTCAGGGGTGGGGTTCAGAAAAGTTTCTTGCAGGAAGGGGGCAACTTATAAAACTGATAAATTATCTATCTGGCTATCTCTCTATTATCTATGACTATGTGTGAGTATGTACATATATACATAGTGTTTGTATATATAGCTTATATAGTATGTATGTAGTGTATTTATGCACACATATGTGCATATACGTACATGCATATAACATACATGTTGCCTGATTTTTAGAGAATAAGCTCTAGTTGTTGGCATCCTGTCCATTTTAAAAACAAATTTGTCTATCTATTCACCCATTCATCTATCTATACATGTACACATGTATAAATACATATATATAGAGACATGCATATATACAATGAAGCTATTAAATCTATATAATACATATAAATATATATACATATATGAAGTTATGTAAATTAATTTTAACTGGCTCAGTTCCTTCAATAAAACAATTAACATAACGTACAAATGTAGCATGGATGTAATTAGTAGTACCCTTGGATTTAAGGTATATATTTAGTATCATGTAATGACAATTCAAAATGTTTTTGTTTTTGGAGGCTTCATCCCTTCCTTGAACCTAACAATTAGTTTCTTCAAGTTGACCAGATAACATAACACTAAAGGATTTATATAAATTTCGATACATAATCCCTTTTAGCTTACAGATTTGTGCTTGATACATTGATTCACACCACGAATATCAAAGGGTGGATGGCTGCAGTAGATATGATGGCCTAATTCATCCAAAGGTGGCTCTGGATCAGATGTAGCAAACTGGGCAGCATCCTCAATCTCTTTCCTTACTTCAATATCAATTTCCTTTAATTCTTCAACACTGGCAAGGTTGCTGTGCACCATCCTATCTTTGTGAAGCATGATAGGGTCACTCTTACTCCTCACTTCCTGAACTTCCTGCCGAGAACGATAAGTGACACCAGGGTCACTCATGCTGTGTCCATGATAACGATATGTCTGTAGTTCCAGCAGTATGGGGCCCTTTCCGGATCTAGAGTAGGCAGCTGCAAATTTTGCTGCCTCTCGGACACACAAAACGTCCATACCATCTACCCTTATTCCTGGAATATAGTCTCCTCTTTTGTAATAGTTAGTGTTGGCTGCTGCTCTCTCTACAGAAGTTCCCATTCCGTATCGATTATTCTCACAGACAAAAATACAAGGCAACTTCCACAAAGCGGCCATATTGTAAGTTTCAAATATCTGACCCTGATTAGCGGCGCCGTCTCCGTACAAAGTGAAACAGACTTCCTCTTTTCCCGTGTACTTACAGGCCAGGGCAACGCCAGCTCCCACCGGCACCTGAGCCCCGACAATGCCGTTGCCCCCGTAGAAGTTCTTGGCGTACATGTGCATCGATCCTCCCTTGCCTTTCCCGCAGCCCCCTTTCCGTCCCGTGAGCTCGGCCAGGATTGCTCGGACCGAAAGTCCACGGCCGTAGGTAAAGCCGTGAGCGCGATAGGCTGTAATCACGTGGTCCGAAGGGTTTATAGCGGCCTCGATCCCCACACAGCACGCTTCCTGACCGTCGTACAAGTGGCAGAAACCACGGATGATCTTTTGCTTGTACAGCTGGTCTGCCTTCAGTTCCATCCGACGCACAGTCTGCATGTTCTTGTAGTACTTGAGTCCTTCGTCTCTAGTGAGAACTGCTTGGACGGGAGGGCCCTCCTCCAGACGATGAAGGGAGCATTTCTTAATATCAAACGAAGCTTCGTTTACAAAGTTACGGGCTGCCAACAGCTCTCTTCCCGGCGGTTTTGGGGAGGCGCTCCTCAGCACGCGGGAAGCCACAGGGAGCATTTTCGGCAGGCAGCGGTACCCCGAGAGTGAGCAGAGGCCTCGGGGTGACCGTTGGCCGGTGGTGGATTGCGCAGAAGGGAACCGTGCCCCGAGACCCTTTCTGGAGCCCAGCGGGGGTGCGGAGTCTCCCCTAGGTTCGATGGGGCTGTGGAAATTTAATTTGAAATAGGGCCAGGATGCCAACAGCTAGAGTTATTCTCAAAATATCACGCACATATTAGCTGCAGCCCTCATTTGGCAAGTGGAATATGCTATTTTGAGCTATATAGGAGGAAAAAAAAAAAACCTTTTCATGTACATTTGTCTTCACAATTTGGTTATAAGCTTTTAAAGAAACTTTACAAAGCTTTTAAAAGAACTCTTTTAATTATCCCTATATCTTTCGTGATAATTGCCACAAACTCTTGCATTTGGCAGGTGCCCAGTCCTGCACTGGTCAGAATCTAGACAGTCTTTCTCTGCCCCAATCCCAACTTCGCCATAAATCTGGATAAAATAAAATTTGAATTTGTTCTAGAATTATACTTTTTTGGAGGTATGTTTTTCAGTATATAACTCTCTTTTTAAAGAGAACTGATTTTAGGAATGAGACCTATAATCAGAGGTTATTTCTATTTAGAGAAATAGGGTAGCATTTGATTAATTGACTGGTTTCACTTTTGTCTCTGTATGCCTAAATCTTAACATAATGCTTAGCACATAGTAGGCATTTGATAAAATGCCACCCCAGGACTCCTTATTGCTTCTAAAATAAAAATGTAAACTATTCTATTTAATTTTTAAGTCACTCACAGTCTGGCTTCAACGTATCTTTCCAGATCAATGGACCTCAATCTCTCTTAGGCACTCTGTAATTCAACCAAATTGTCCTCTTTTCTTTTCCACACAGATGGATGACAGCACTCCATCACCTGTCTCAGTGCCTTTGTACTGGTCATCTTCATGCCTAGAATATACCCCTTCTTCACTGACACAACATAAAATTGTTTTGTATCACATCTCTTCAAGATGCAACTCAAATAGTATCTTCCACATGGATCTGCCTAATTTCTAGCACCCTCTCTCCCTCACTACAATACTTAACTACCTATTTTTTGTTTACATTTATTCCCTTTGTATCTAGTTTCTATGTATACAGTATATATATACATATATAGATAGATAGATATAGCTATAGATATAGATATATATACACACACTTGTTATGTCACTCCATTTCAATGTAATTCTCTGAAGAGTAAGGATTGTTTAATTCCTTATACTTGCATCTCCAGCTTTAGCTTTGTACTTAGCATACAGTAGATGCTTAATATATGCTTGCTGATTGATGAAGATAAATTTAGTCAATGAATATTTATTTATCCAGTACCTACTGTGTGCTAAGCACTGGGAGCAAAAGACAGTCCCTCCCCTCAAGGAGTTCACAATCAAGTTAAAGGAACATCAAGGGCAATACCATCTGGAAGAGCTAATGTGGTCCTTGTCCTATTCCCATGAGTTATTTTGAGAATTCAGGTTTCTTGGAGAAGTGCAGAAGACTCTTTAGCAGCCCCAACTGAATTTCACTTCAAAGATAGTCTTAACCACAGGGTGTCACTAGTGCTCCTGTGCAAACAAGGAAGGAGACATGTCTTGCAAGCTTTTGTACTACTGTGAGCCCTTTATGGTTTTACAGTCTTTCTGCAGGGTGAAATATAGGTTATCATTTAGCTTCCAAATGAAGTTGCACTAATGTTTAGATACAAGAAGAACCTCATGTTTCTCAGCAGAGGTAACTCAGAATATGGGAATATTTGTCACCAATTAGCAGGTTGCAACCTGTCTATAAATTAGTAGATGAGTTCTAGAGATATGTCTGAGGCAGGAAGACATTAAATGATGACCAAGGTCACACAGTATAGGTCAGAGGCAGGATTAAAATATAGTTCTTCGTGATTACAAGCCCCAAACTTGATCCATTACATCATAATACTACATTACATAAATCCATACACACACACATACACACACACTGTTGTCAATGAAATGGTGAATTAGAAAGGAAACAGTTAAGTGCAGAAGTAAAATCTCTTAAGTAAACTTGTTTGATAATGTTCTCATTTTTAAGATACATAAGGAATTAGTTTATATTTATATGAATAAAAACAATTTCCCAATAAATAAATGATCAGGAGATAATAGGCAGTTTTCAAAAGAAGAAATCCAAATTACCAAAAGTTATATGAAAAAAAAAATTGCCAGATCACTAACAGAGAAAAGTAAATTAAAGCAACTCTGAGGTTCTACATCATGCCTAATAGATTGGCCAAGTTAACAAAAATGGGAAATAACAAATGTTAAAAAAGCTGTGGGAAAAGAGGCACATTAACATAGCTGTGAATTACTCTAGTTATTCTGAAAATCAGTTTGAAATTAATGCCCCAATGTCACCAAAATGTACATACCTCTTGACCCAGTTATCTTACCACTAGGCCTAAAACCCAAAAGGATCAAAGAAAGAAGAAAAGATATATATATATATATATATATATATATACACACACACACACATACACACACACATAAAAATAGTTATAATAGATCCTTTTTTTAATTAACAAAAACCAGTAAAACAAAGGGGGACATATCAGTTAAGGAACGGCTAAATAAATTACAATGATTTAGTGGAATACTATCATGATTAGCTTGGTTTAGAAAAATCTAAGAAGACTTATATGAATTGATGCAGAGTGAAATGAGCAGAACCAATTTGCACAATACTATTAAAAATATCAACAACTTTGAAAGATTTAGAAATTTTGATTGATTCAATGACCAATAATGATTCCTGGGCATTGATGAAGAAGCGTGATTCCCTATTTCTGACAAAAAGGTGATGGATGAAAGATGCAGAATAAGACACACGTATTTGGATGGAGGCAATTGAGATTTTTTTTCTTAACTATATATATTTGTTACAAGGAGCTTTTTTTCTTTCTTTTGTCTTTAGGGTGGGTGGGAGGGAGAAAAAATGTATTTTTTTAAAAGAAAGAGAACAAAAATAGTAATAAATAAAAGTTTAAACAACCTAAAAAAAGTAATTGGTATCATGATCACTTCCTCCCAATTGCTAGTGTCATAATATAAAAAAGTTCACTTTGTAACAACTTACATCAGCAGTCAACAGATTATGAATTATACCAGTACCATTCTACACTAATCACTGAATGTGCTGTTTATTCACAAACAAAATTCTGGGAGAGTTGGAGAGCTGGCATCTTGTTAAAATATTTACTATATTTAGGAATGTTTGTTAATTTTCTATTCCATGTAGTACTTATCTTCATATCTTTTTGTATGGAAGGGATAAGTATAACATATTTCTTAGCACCTCAATTCCTTCAGGACCACTTATTTTCTCTGCTTTGCAGTTTATCATCCTTATACTCAAAGGAAAAAAAATAGCTTAGGTGTATAACAACTGATTCTGAGGTAGTATGACCTTGTTTAAGTCAAGTCTATTTGTCTTATGTAAGATTTGAGATGTTCCTCATAAACACTGTGTCTTCATAATGATTTAAATCAATCAAAAAGAATTCAAACATCAATGATTTAGTAGTATGGTGAGAGGAATATCTATCTATATATCATATCTACATACCTATCACTTGACATCTATCTACCATCTCTCTTTCTCTTTCTCTTTCTCTCTCTCTCTCTCTCTCTCTCTCTCTCTCTCTGTTCTCTCCCTCCCCACCTACTTCCCTTTCTCTCTTCATCTATCAATCTAATTTGACTGAAAACATAATTTGACTAAAAATGATGCAGGAGTGTAACAGCAACGAGAAATTATGAACTGGGGAAGAAATAAGGAAAGACTCTCTCATTCCTTAGAGGAACAATAATAAATGGGGAATATTGAATATGCAATCAGATTCAATAACCACTTCTGTTGGTTTTGTTTAACTGCTTCCTTTTTAGGAGGAAAGGCTTACTGGTTAATAGTGGTGATGAATCCATAAATGCCTGTGATACAAAACAGAAGGCAACAATATACCTTTTTATGTTAATTATACTTGGAAAGCTACAAAATGGGGGATGCTAGGTGGGGCAGTAGATGGAGTGCTGAGCCTTAGGTTAGGAAGAAGAGAGTTCAAATGCTTTCTCAGACACTTACATGCTAATCCTGAGCAAATCACTTAAACTCTGTCAGTTTGTCTATCCATCAAATAGGAATAATAATAGCACCTACATCTCAGGGTTGTTGTGAGGATCAAATGGAATAACATTCGTAAAGTTTTTTTTTCAAACCTAAATGTTCTATTGTAATTGCTAACTATTACCAGCAATAATATAAATTGAAGACTCCTATTGTTGTCACATAGAAAGAGAGAGTGTCTCATTAGTAAATACGAAAGCGAGGTTTATAGGGAACAAAGAACACCGTTTTAGCACAGGCAATTTTATTAACATAAGAAAATACAATATTTTTATGGTCTTGGTCCTTAGTTAGGAGGAGTTGGTGCACAAGTATTAGAGTAAGCCACATCACTAGAGTCAACACAATATGATGGATTTTTTCATTCTAGTGGAATACAAAACTTAAAAATCTTTCAAACTAGTATTATTCATTTTTAGGAAAAATACGGCATGTGTTAGGAAGAAATTGACTTGAGAAGGCTATAATACATTACAAGATGATCTAAGGTTATTTTTAATCACTAAAGTAAAGAGATAAGATACTCAAAATAAAATTAAACAGAAATAAACTTTGCATTTCCAAGTGGTAAAATTAAAGGAGATTTTAGGAAACAAAGGTAAATTTTAAAACTACGAAGATTTCCAAATTAAAAAAAAAAAACAGTGCAATTGCACAAAGCATTTCAAATCAAGAGCAAAAAACAAATCAGGCCAACCAAAAGATAATTCAGGGAGCAGCTTATAAAATACTACAAAGTCAGTAATGAGTGGAGTTTTATATACATCAGAGGTTGAAAACTACCCAGGAGATCATTTGATGATCAAGGCACAAAAACTCACAAATGAAAAAACAGATAGCTTGCAGATTAAATGAATTCTTTGCCTCATTCTTTACTAAGAAATGCATTAGGGATATCCTCGGTCCCAAATTATCTTTCAAACCAAAAGGGTCAGAGGTAGTAGATCAAACAGTAATAAATGCATAGGATGTTCTAGAATTAACTGAC